TGTTCAGCTCCCACTTGAGGTCCTGGGTGATGATGGAGCCCAGGAAACGGAAGGAATCCACAGCTGCGACGGGGGAGTCACACAGGGTGATGGGGGAAGGTGGGACTCAGTTCATGAAATCCACAACCATCTCCACAGTCTTTAGAGCGTTGAGCTCCTGTTCTGGCTGCACCACGTGACCAGATGAGGGAGGGTTCATTTGCAAACTTCAAGAGCTTGACGGACTGGAAGTACAGCGGTTGGGGTACAGGGAGAAGAGCAGAGGTGAAAGAACGCAGCCTTGGGGGGAACCGGTGCTGATGGACAGAGAGGCTGAGACATGTTTCCATGTTTTCCCCAGTCTGTGATCCACTTGCAGGTGGAGTCGGGCACGTGCAGCTGGGAGAGTTTGTCCTGCAGCAGAGACGGGATGATGGTGTTGAAGGTAGAGCTGAAGTCCACAAACAGGATCCTGGTGTAGGTTCCTGGAGAGATGCTGGAGGATGTAGGGGAGGGCCATGTTGACAGCGTCGTCTACAGACCTGTTGGCTCTAAAGGCAAACTGCAGGGGGGTCCAGGAGGATTTTCAGGTGGGACAGGACTAGCCGTTCAAAAGACTTCATGACTACAGAGGTCAGGGCTCATCCAGACTGTTAGTGGCAGTCCTGAAAACATCCCAGTCTGTGCAGTTCAAGCACGCCTGAATATCTTCTAGCACCTCACTTCTCCACTTCTTGAATTCACTCCCCACAGGTTTGCAGAGCTTTAGTTTCGGCCTGTATGCAGGAATCAGAAGGACTATGACTTCGTCAGAGTGTCCCAGCGCAGCACGAGGGACGGCGTGATAAGCCCTGCTTGCTGTGGTGTAATAGTGATCCAGCATGTTCTCCTCTGAATGGCTTTTATTGACAAAATGCCAACCATTGATAATACAACAAAAGTATCCCCTGATTATCTTATAAAAAGCTATTTTGGCGTTTTTCTGCAAATGTCCATCGATCAATGCATCTGTAGAAGCCCATTTGGCACTACAACTAGGTTAGGTGATGGAACCTACAGAAGTGCACCAGAACAACACAAGTTATTCAGTTTGTTCTAATTGGGAAATTCTTGAAGTTTGAATTGTATCACCATCAAAAATCTCAGTGTTTTTTCATTAATAACATTCATTGTTCTTTTCTAGACAAAACCTGTATCTTACTGCAAATAAGTCCTTTTTTAAATGTAGGCTATGCACTTAAGTAGATATACTGTAATAAACAGTATATCTACTTATCAGTTGGACAAAAACATGATTCCAATGTCACTATTTCTTCAACTTAAAGAAAGTGATAATGTTCACATCTTGTTTCTGCTGCCACTAAGTGGCCCGAGCAGACCCTTTACTGCAGCTTTAATCAGAACGTATGAAGAATAAATACCATTGTTCACTTCAGAAGTTCTTTTTCAAAACCTTCCTATGAAGGCAAATGAAGGGAAGGAGACGACGGGTCAACTTTTTTTTCCTCACATGTGATCACATGTCAATCAGTCGGTTAATATGGCCCATGAGATATGTCAATCTCCAGCTCCTTCAGCTTCAGCTCCTTTCTAAAGAAGAAATCCTGGAAATTAAGAGGCTCACTTTGATTCGACATGTAACGAAGGATTCCCGCTGTCAGATTTATCAAAATTTGTGAATCCCTGATGCAAAAGGAGGACTAACGGAGAACGGAGAAGAGGGTAAAAGAGAGACTAGGAGAAGATGATGAAAGAAGCAGAAGCCGAGAGATGAGCAAGTTTGAAATAAAAAAAAAAAAAAGAGGGGGGGGGTGGCGTAGTGATATTAATGACTGCAGGGACACGAGAAGTAAGACAAATGAGGAAATGCGGTTTGCTTGAAGTGGAGAAGGAAAGTCGAGGGCAAGGAAAAAGAAGTAGGGGAAAGAAGGGAAAGAATAAAAGAAACAAGTGTGCATTTTGTTGGACACAATTATGTGTGTTCAGACTGTGATCTCTGTAAGTTGGTTGCAGAGGGAGGATGGGAAGCAAAGACAGTTTTCCTTGACACTTTTACACCAATTTTAATGAGGAATCTTTCATGTTGCGGGTCTGTGATACGCTTAACGGAAAAAGAAGGGGGAAAACACCCAGCAGTCGACCCAGTGATGGGTGACTTCGAGCTAAAGAGAGCGCGAGGAAAGGAAGTGTTTCCTGGAGAGAACAATTAAAAGCTAAATATATTCTGCTCTTCTTCTATGGACTAATTTTAATGGTATCATTGGGGCGCTGATGAGGAGACGTGGACCCAGGGGAAACCCTGTGGCCTTCATGCTAAAGAGCTTTCTGAGACCAACATTGAAGTGATCCTCAACTGGAGAGACAAGGACAGACCACACGAGTAATAATAACCCTGTGTTCCAAAGAGAAATGAGGCATTCTTAATACGACCACTTTGAGTTGAAGCTTAACCAGCAGTTAGCGGCGGCCATAATGCTAGCAACGCTAACTGCAGAAACAACGGCAACAGTGCTGAAATGAGCTAACAGCGTTGACCTGAGGGGGAGCCGCAGTGCGGGCGCCACGTTGCCATAACAACGTATGAGCGCAGTACAGACGCGCGGCCATTAGCTAGCCAACACGCAATGACATGCGGTTTTGGGTGGTGCAACATAATTTTCAAGGACTAGTTTGACATTTTTGGAAATACACTTTTCTTCTGAGATTTGAATTGAAACCCCGCTCGTGTCAGTATGGTACAAATTAAGCTGGAGCCAGTAACCAGTAAGCTTAGGTCAGAGGTTTTCAAACTTTTTATGTCATGAAACCGCCAACAAAATTCAACATCTTGAATCTTTATTGACATAACATTGTAATCCTATGCTTTTTCAAATAAAAAAAGTAATCAGACCAGATTGCTCCATCAGACAAAACAAATAGTAATTTTTCTTTCTCTGCAGACCAGTCGCCTGTGGTTGGGGACCACTCGGAGACACTGGCTTAGCTTAAGTGAAAGACTGGACACAGTTATCTTGGCTCCGTTCAAATGGAACAAAAGTGGCATTCCAGCACATAAAGGTCACAAAGTAGCGCGTGGATTGAGTGTGAATTATAAAATGTTAGCTTGTTAACAGAGAACCATCCACAGTAAACCGTAGCACGTTAGCATTGTCCCTGTATACGTGCAACACGTCGACATCAGTTAGCTACGTCTCTATAGAGCTGCTAGCATGGCGGCCACGTCGTTGTGTAGGGTTTTAGCCTCCTGGTTGGGCTTGATGTTTTGTTTGTTTTTTACTCTGACCAACCATTGCATCTGTATTGTTTAGCAGGCATCGTCTGAACGTTGTCCTCCTTCCTCACCAACAACGTGACATCATTATGCTTTTACTGATAGTCATATTTACTGGAATAGTCCTTTTTCCACTGCAGACATTTTGCATGCGTCGTAGCAGGATAAGCACAGGTGCTCCTCAGAACAACTCCGGCGGTGTTTGTACTCAAGTGTCCCAGGGAGCCGTGACAGTGTGGGCCTACGTACACAAGACCAGAACCCTGAAACTGACCGAGCTGTATGGAATTAAGTCCTCACTCTGGCTTAATTATTTACACCTGAGCCACTTTTGTGGAGAAGGCAAAAAAAGAAATCGTTTTGAATCGTGCCATGTCCTTCTTTTTCTTAATTCCCAGGGACACAGAACCACCCTGCTGCTGAGTAAATCAATTGTTCCCACTCTTCGGCTCTTAAAATACGTCCTTTTTTCACTTTTATTTTACCATTTGCAGAAATCGTAAACATATGGTGAAATTCCTCCCACAGGACTGAGTAGAGGCGTTGAAGATGCATTGGAACGACTTTCTACACGGTGTGACACACAGGAGCTCTGTGCTGTGAAGATCCCTATTAATCAAAGACAGCTATAAATACTAGTCCTAATTATAGGCTACTTTTAATCCAAGCCAATTTATGCTTTAGAAGTTGGCTGAGCGACACAGTGAGTGAATGAGACCACAGGCATCAGCAGAGGAGTGTTTTCCCGGTCAGGTTCGGATATCTGGCTGAACGGAATCTCCAGAGACTCCGCTGAGCGAGAGGAGGGGGACAGATCATTCATAATTTATCTCCATCAACTCCCCTCCACAGGGGACCCCTATGCCATCCAAACCCTCATCCACATACTGCTGCGACATCTGCAGCAGCATGCGAGGATGATCTGTGATGATCATGATTGGGATGACTTTTTAACGTATACTGCTTTGTAAAGTGCACTAGAATTGGTTCCAGATCAGAAATTTTGTATTGTGTGTATTTAAAGGGCCACGCCAATTTTGACATCTTGTAGGGGCTTTTTAGGGAGCAAAGTATTTAACCAGGTTTGGCACCGATAGAAGGGAGCTTGAGAGGTGCAGGCAGACCACAAGGCCGGCCTAATGACGTTGTGGGATATGTATGATCCTTTTGCAATGAACTGATGATTTTTTTTTAATATTTTCATTTATTAAGAATCTGTTTCTGGTGAAGCCCTGCTACTTTAAAGGAAGAAGAGTACAACATTGCCGGAGCTCCCTTTTTAATAGAACACGTTTCACTTTTCTAGAGTTCAGAGGCAAAGTGTGAGGTGGAGAAACCTCCCATCGGTGACTTAAACAGGCTCGCAATCATCTACCGACTTGTGAATGAATCCACCATCGACGCACTATTAATCCAATCTACTTTATTGCTCAAAAAGGTATCAAAGGCTCCGGGGAAATAATATCACATTCCACATTGGAGCACACGCACGCTACATCCTTTAGGTAATTTGTCACGATCGGATGTCCCCCGCAGCAGCACGTGGAGGGGGGAAGAAGCGCCGGGACCCCCTGCAACTGGCAGTAAGTCCACGCCAGCACGCTGCAACGGAAGACCCTCCAAGAACTACACATCTGCATCCATGTCATCCGTTTGCGCATAGCGACTCGCAGCCGGAACCGGTCCCGGCACTGCGGCGGGAGTGGAAGGTGGTTCGGGAACAGAAAGTTACAAGAGAAACGCTACTTACTCAGCAGCAGAGCAACAGGCAGCAAGAGGAGACACGCGCGGATCACCGACGACGCCATGCCGACACCGACGAGTCGTCCTCCGACCTCTCAAGTTTCAGGGAGGAACCGGAAAAATGAAAGAGAAAAAAAAAGGAGGAAAAAAAAGTTGTCTCCCAGAAGACGAGGCTGAGCCCCCGCTGTCCCGTGGAGAGCTGTCCCCTCCCGTCTGTGGCGCGGCTCCGAGCTGCGGTGTGAGCGCATCCACGGCGCGCTCATCCGCTCCAGTGCAGGAGGGGAGGGCGCGTCCGTACACGGGAGGAAGAGGAGGAGGAGGAAGGTGCGTCCACAGCTGCAGAGTGTCTCTGATGAGCTGCAGGCAAAGCACCAGCCCCCTGGTTTAAATTGAAGTGCTAGATTCAAAATACGACTGAAGGTAACGTGCAGTTCGAAAGCGTCACCAAACCGGGATTACGGTCTAATTCTGCAGTTTAAAGATCCTTGTATCTGGTGACCGACTACTCTGTAAAACGTTTGGAAGTGTAATGCAGGTGTTTGGAGCCCCCAGAAAGGTCAATATTAATATGTAGGGGCCGAGAGATTAATGATGGGCGGGATGAAAATGTTTTTAGGTGAATTTTAAAACAAGATATTGAGCCTGCGAGTAGTTTTGAGAGTCGCTCCAACCACTAGAGGTCTTTGGGCCTGCGAGAATACCATCCAAAACATTATGCAGTTTGCTGCAGCAGAGCAGATGAGCCAAGGACAGACTGGGGTGAAAGGTCACTCACTCGCTCTGCACAAGAGATTCCACTGTAGCCCTAAAAAAAAAAAATCCAGAAAAATCTAAAAATCTGTTGAACGCGTCGTATGAACTGCATAGCAGTCCAGTGAAAGTATTTAGTAGCATGGAGGGAAAATACAGCGAAGCCGCTCACTTGAACTTTAGGTCACAACTGTTACGTGGGAGTACAGGACCAATGAAGACACAATCAAGTAAACAACTTTTTTTATTATTCCAAAATGGGTAAAATTAATATGTAAAATATACAACATAAGCATCCAAGTAGAATGGACAGAGGAAAAAAAGTAGCATACTCTTGCCTGTGTCTCCCACACAGCGCCGCCTTTAGGAGTCGACGCGTCCTCTGGACTGAGGACAGAAAACCCAGAAGTGGAGGAGCTAGTAGTCTGAATGGCATCGTTTTCCCGCTCTGTTGCGTGATCATTCAAATGTCCGTCCAAAAATCAAATGTATCGCGGGTTGAATATTTGGCATTTGGAGCCGTCAACGTTTTAGACACAAACGCTTTAAAAAGAAAAGGGAACCACTATGGAATAATGCTTTAACTTGTCTAAAGGCCCAAACATGAATACAATAAGGCACTTTGCTAGACAAATTTAAACTCAACAGAACTCTAAACACGCAGGTGAAAACAACAGAACTTTATTTTACAATCAACAAAACAGTGTGGCCGCCCTGCAGGGGGCGAACGGGCCGGACACAAATGACCCTACGCTCTCAGTACAGAAACAGAACGTTTGGTAAAACAGATACTGGAAGAGTAGGAATGCATCCTAAAACCTAAAATAACGAGAAGGGTGCACATCTGCAGTCCAACTAAGTGCTGCCTCCTAGAGTCTATGAGGAGGAACTGCACATTAACTTCACAAACATTTGGAATAACCTGATAAAAGAACATTATCGGCAAGTGTTTTATGTATTATAACTAGTTTGACAACTATTAAAGCCGGTGTACAGGTCTCACGAATGCCAAATGTTTATATAAAAAGGGAGGGGGGAAACCGATGTACACGTGGACGGCGTGCAGAACCCAATGTCGAGCTCCCAACATTTCAGACTGTTAAAGCGGAATTCTTTTGAGCCGGGGGCAGCTTGGCAAATATTTGTTCTATTTAAAATAAATGTTATTTCTCATTCTTTCATCTTATTTGTATCCATCGGAGACGTCTTGTTAGGACAGATGGAGAGTGTACAAGACGCGCTTCCCACCCTGGGTAACACCGCAGCAACGAATACAATTAACAACAATGCGGCTCGTTGATCTTTTTCAGAGCAGAGACGCATTCGGCCTGGCAAGGTTGTCCTCTCCAACCTATTACGAAATAACTGAAAGAAAATATGCCGCCGACATGAAATGTCTTTGAGGGTTACATACTTCTGGTCGCCGGGAGGAACATGAATGTCTAAAAAAAACAAACAACGGAGGACATTGTCTTGCATTCAAGTTATGTTCAGAAAAAAAGGAGAAGACGGGCGGAGATCTGTATTCTCGAACCAAGCAAACTCTCGTCTTCCAATCTATCTCCACCCAACGACCGCCCGGGCCTTGGAGAAACTGCCCGTAACTACAAGAAAAAGAAAAGAAGGGGCTTGTGTGATCCGTTATCTATAGAGGAGACGGCTCTGCTGCACTAGTGGCTGACGAGGCCCTGCAGCATCATCATCAGGCGGCGCGCCCTCTTGCTGAGCGGGCTGTGGGGGTCCTGCTGCAGGAAGGTGTAGAGCTTCGGCCTGACCTGGGCCAGCACCGAGGACATGTGGTCTCGGGTCAGCGGGTCGCCGTGGTCCAGATTCATCACGGCGTCCTCCAGGTAGCTGAAACGGGGACAGACGATGAGGACAGAAGAGACATTTGGGTCCATGTTGTGGGCTGGAGGGAACATCTAAAGCTAAGAATCTGCTGTGGGAGTACTGCTCTATTGAGAATAAAGAAAAAACAAAGACTAAATCCGCTACAATGCACTCTACACAGATGCCTGAATGAATTCTAAACAAACAACATCTATTTGCAGCATACTTAATTATATTTAACCTAATTATTTTGAACTTCAATAACAGACTGACTCAAAGCCCATATTCCCATTTTAGAAAGAACGAGCCGGAGAAATTGCGCCGGATATAAACCAAACGTATTCAATTGTATTCCAATTGTTCAACTACACGAGGAGCGTCGGCCAATAGGTCGATTGGACAGTGCAAATCGCCTGCTGTTGAGTCACCACGCATGCACGGTCGACTGCGGGAGCTAGTTTAACCCAAAACTAGGTCGTGCTAATTAGCAATCCTTGCCTACTAACGGACACATTTCATAGCTCTTTTTTTTTAACCGCTATTGCTGCTGCGTAGCTCAACAAGTCTTACATCTAATACAGTGGTGTGGGGTGAACAGAATGTATAGATACCGCAGATACTCATTAACTCTGTAATACAGATGTTTTATATCGCAGTACCATCCATGTTGTCCAACACTTTGTATTGCTCATCCATTACTTTCCTGTGTAGGAAGCCTTCTGCTTCCTTACATCATTATTGACTGATATAATTACATCGTCATGTGTCAGTTGTCTTCGGACCTTGATTGGGTTTGTCTAGAAACAATCCACAAATGACAAGCAGACTAAACAAATTGAACGCCATTGTTAATAACCTCACCTGATTTTGAGCTCAGAGCGGGTGGTGAGGTTGGAGGAGAGCTGCTGGATGAGCGACAGCAGCACGGGCTGGCTGAGAGGACACGGGTGCTGCCCAAACACCTGCTGGGAGTCAATGGTCTCGCAGACGTACAGGACCAGGTTCAGATCTGTGGCCGACAGAGCCTGGACGGAAAGGAAGGAACAGCTTAAAAAGGGAGAAACCTTCCAGCCAGAAGCGACTTGTTTGTTGTATGTTGCTTCTAAAGCCATGCAGATAAATGTCTGAAGAAAGTACAGTCGTCTTTCTTGGTCATGTGTATTTAAACTATGAGCGTTGCAGTTTATTGTGATGTTTTCAAGTGTCAATCAAAATATCCATGGGACATAAACTGTGAAGGTTCAGAATATGAAAGACATGGCTTGCTTGGACAAACCGCAGTTTAAGATTCAGTCTGCTACGGGGGGGGGCGGCGTATCCGCATGCATCCCAAACACATTTAAGCATTTTGATAGTGACTAGTAATTAGTGTTTAAAAAAACAAATTTACCCAGCACCAAAAAAAAAAAAAAAAAAAGTCTCTTATGCCGAAGCAGAAGGGAAGCTTTTTCCCTTAATATGTTAATATGTGCTAGCATGGATTTCCATTCACTGACACGCTGCTTTGTATAAACATCTCATGAGAGGCGTCTGCAGCAGTTAAAACACTAAATGTACACAGATTTATCAAAAGTTTGGAAATACAGCTCAGCTGCCGAGCACGCAATGTGAACAGCAAAACACCTGGTTAACGCTGTATGTGTGTGTGTTACCTGCTGGAAAGCCTGGTTCAGCTGGCCCTGCTGCAGGAGCTGCAGGATGTTGGCCTGCTGCGTCTGGTAGTCGAGGTGCGCTGTGGGGACGGGAGTGCTGGCCGCTGACCTCATCGCCTGCATGATGCTGGAGGTGACCACCGCCTGCTGCTCCTTCATCGCCATGCTCACCTCGCCTTTGACGATTCGCTGCACATGGCTCAGAATCGACTCCTGCAAACTGCAGAAGAGACAAACCGCAGGAGGGACGGAACGTGAGAAAGGGGGGCATCCTACGTATGAGGGTTTTAGTGCACCGTAGTGGGAAGGCCCAATCAAGGGACACCCATTCCAGCACTTTCTGAGGGCGTTACCTTCTGTTTGTTGCCATAACCTTTAAGCGATTACTTAAAAAATGTAATGTTCCATCTCCATTTGTCAATTCCTTTAAGATATCAAAGTTTTAGACCAACTACTTTGTCCCTGCTCCATCCCCTTCCCTCCGACACATCTATGAACTCTAGAGGGCCCAAAATTAATTGCAGAGGGAATAAGAGACTTGATTGAATTTATGTTACATTACATTAGCCTGAGGATTAAGCCTTGCTTGTTTCTCCTCTCCGGCCCCATTATGCACCTGCTCAATAGGCAGTGGGTGAGGCCAGGGCTTTATTGCAGAGGCAGCTGCTGATACGCACATCTGATATTCAAAATATCTGCCTGGAATGTTAATCATTGCTATCGGATCAATTGCTACGAGGAATGAAAGTTAACAGCAGCAGGTCCATATTTAGAGTGATGGAATAGATCCTATACTGTGTGAAGTGTGAAAAAATAAATAAAAACAAAAAACAGATTTTTAATCTTAAGCAGCGGACTGTGTGGTCTCTCCAGAACACATACTTTCCCACCATCATCTGGATCTGGTGCTGGACCTCGGCCCGCACATTAGCCGTGATGTTATTGGCCAGCTGATCGGTGGAGCTCTGGAAGGTCTCGATGGTCTGCTGGAGCTGGCTGATCACGGGGTCTCGTGTCTCCTGCTCTCTCTGCTTCTTGTTCTTCATGTGGCTCTCGAGCTGCTGGATGTCTACGGAGATGAAGGTGAACAGAAAAATCAGTCCTCAAAATACAGAATTGGATTCTACGTCCTTCCAGGAATACGACGACTTACGGGAAACAATGCGGGATGTATTGATAAATATTACACCTGTGGCCTTTCTGCGCGTCATAATATGCACCAGAAACAAGGAGAAAATATGGCCTTTAACGACACCACTGTAGCTAGGGAGCAGTGTGGATCTTAACACAGCATTCACAAAAGTTACAATCAATATTTACACACAAAAAGATAAACCCAAAATTTGGTCAGGGATTACAAATTAAATTGGAACAAGCTCACAAGGGAGCACACGCTCATAGGAGTACTGTGGCCTCCCCATTTACTGCAGGGGAAGTGTGCTTCTCCCCTTTGCACACATTATAACAGCCTTGTTTATTTAAATAGATTTGCAAGTAAAGCACCAATAGAAGAGCCTTAAGCAGAACATTGGCCGTGAACATTCTCGTGTCTGGACATCCAGAGACCGAAAGGAATGTTTATTTGATGGTGATTTATTTCTGCATTTATTTACTTGCTGACAAAACAACACATGGCTGCTTGACCGCCTTACATTCTTGGGTGCCTTGTTTAAAGCTGTCGTTGATTTGCTGGAACATGGACTGGCAGCCTCTCTCAAAGACCGGCAGCACGATGCTCTGGAAGGTGTCTTTGTAGGCCGCCTGGATGGGCCCCTGCATCGCTTCGGCCGCTGCTCGACCAATCGCATCCGTCGTGTTCTGTAACACAAGCGTTTACAGTGAGATGGGCAGGACTGTGTGTGTGTGTGTGTGGGGGGGGGGGGGGGCAACATCCACTTGCCTTGGACTTGACCACCTTGCTGACATTATCCTTCAGTGTGATCTCCACGGCGGTCAGCTTGGCAGCGATGGTGTTGCTCAGCTGCCCCGTCACCGGCTCCAGACTTTTAGAGATGCCTGGAGAAGAGAGGGGACGGATTATAAGAGGGCCCCAAGTAGATAATAATACGTTTTATTCACTCTTCCTCAGCAGACCTCAGAGTGCGACAGAGATAGCAAAACAGTTTAAAAAAAAAAAAAAAAAAGAAAAGTTAGCGTAAAAAACGCCTTGGTGAATAAAAAGGTTTCCAGGCCAGTTTTAAAAGTCTAGTGACCGTACTGCCCTCAGGTTGAGACTGCAGAGATCGGATTCTCTGGGTTATTCCGACGCATTTGTTATCTATCGTTGCCACCAATGGGATCCCTGATCCCACACGACGCAAGGTGAACGTCATCTCATTTGCCAGAGGCCCGATGGCAGTCAAGGCAAAGGCAGTCAGATGTTCAGCCAAAAAAAATCATTGCATCACAAACATAAGTGCAGCTGCTCAAACATCTGCCCTGCTGCAAAACGCCCAAAACTCGGAAAGCAAATTCCTAAACTAAATACAGAGCTGTCTGAGGTGCACGATGACGAGAAAGAAAACCCATTTGTAAATATAAGTTAGAGAAAAGAAAGTTTAACAAAACATTACAAGACACCTTCAAGTGTCATTCAGAAACACATTTTTGAAGAACTCTGGACAGAGCGACAACAGAAAAAAGCACAGATTTGTTAGAAGATGGAGAAGAGGCGCCACGGACGAGGTTCAGCAGAATGTTAATGATGCTTAAAACCATCCGACGGTTACTGCCAAAATAACAAAATGGAAGCAAAACCCCCCTCATCTGGCAACAAACGTCGACGACCACTCGCTCACAGTCTGCGCGGTCAGAGTAGAGCTGTTTGGGCCTGTTGTTAATGTGCATGTGCTCACTTGGTGGGACGGTCTTCTTCATTTCCTCCCGGAGCACTTTGTCCATCCTGTTGGTTAGCACCGAGCTAAGGGTGCTGCTGAGCTGCTCCTGAAGCTGCTGCTGGTCACTTTGTCTCTCTGCCAGAACCCGCTCTAGTCTCCGCTCTGGGGTCACGAGAGGTCAAGGCTCGCAACAATATGCAGATGACAAAACATCAACAGCTCGGTAGAAATCCATGAGAAAGGATGAGAGCAGTGTTTGAAAGCGCATGTATTGAGCTGTGTGGGATTTATGTCTGGGAGAAATACTCTGATTTCTAGAGTACATGACTTGTCCCATAATTGAGAAAAGAAAACGAGATGACGTTAATGGAAATTTTAGAGTAAAAGGGATGGAGCTCACATGTGTGATGTACCGTTCACACCGAAATACTCACCTCATCCTAATGGTACGTTTACACTGAACGCGTCGCCTCAATCGCTCTAAACGCGCCGCAGGACTCATGGGGATCATTTCTGGTCAATTTGCATGTGTCGCGTATTCGCGCCTGACGCGACGGCGAGGGGGCGTGGTCAATCACCATCCGCCATAGTTTTTCCTCCGCATCAACCGTGGAAGACATAGCAACTCTATTTGTTGTGTAAGTCCTACTAATGTCAGACTTTCAAACGGAGTCGTGTTTTTGTAGTAAATAGCATCTGTAGGTGAATTTCACCAACTTCTACAGAAAACTGCGTCTGGATGACTGGCGCTTCCAGCGGTATATGGTGCTAGCCGTTAGCCTGTTTGATAGCTCGTTGGCTCGGCTCGGGCACTGGACCTTACCGCTGTCGCATCATACTTCCATGCCGAGGGTCCTGTCCCATGGAGACATTGCTTGCTTAAGCACAACCAAACGGCTCTTTAGAGCCACACACACACACACACACACACACACACACACGTTTTCACTGAGCAAATATCCTTGGTATTACTTAATATTTAGTATCAGTGTGTCGTTAAAAAATATAATTATCATAGACTTAATTGTACTATATTCAGTGCAGTGATGGGATATTGTAAACGGCACATATGGTTGTATGCGGTTTGTTAAAAGTGCAAGGTCTTTCCTGGACCGGTTGCAATAAAGGTACGAAGATGTATCGTACAGCTCAGGATACCGGAGTGTCAGTGACGACAGGGGGCAGTTTTATCGCGCCGCAGCGTCACAGTGTTTTGTCGTCAAAGATGGAATATTTAAACTTTTGCGTTTGCCGCTACTTTCCTCAAAATAGCGCTGACTTCCCCGAGAGAAACGGTTCGGTGTGAACGTACCATTACAATACCTGCCGTAAAGTACTACTGCATATTATTACATTTATCGATGAACTCATGTCACGCAAAGGAAGACATATTGTTAATCTACCATGGAGTAATATTACATTACAGTATGCAGCTCTTTTGGGGAACTCAAATGCATCGTTTCGTAGCGGCGTTCCACTCGCAAAGCTGCGACAACGAGTCCGTGAGCCGAGAAAAAGCCAGAAGGATACGCTCCTGCTCCTGGTGGTTGGTGAGGACGTGCTCAACTTGGGCCATGATGGTGCTCTGCATGGCTTCGATCTGCCCACGCAGGTCAGTGAGCTCCCTCTGCTGGCTACGCAGGAGCATCAGCAGCTCGTCCTGCACTTCGGCATTCATCTAAGAGTAGAGGGCAGATCTTTTTCAGACAAAGTGCTGATGAGACACATAAATTACTTAATCATTAGTTCCGCATTGATAAAAGTGGGAAACGATTCGATAACACATTGTTGTTGTTTTTTTATGTAGATTAACAATAGTTCATCTAAGATCACCTTACCTGACCAGAGTCCATTTGCCTGGACTGAGACAATTCCCTGAGGAGAATGAGAAAGAATGAGTAAGAACTTTTACCAATAATATTCCAACAAACTGAAAAGTTTAACGTTGTTGAACGTTAGATTGAAAGATTGATATTGAGCCTCACTCTAAGCGTATCTGGTCAACTGTAGTCTGCTACCAATACGGCATCTGGTGCTACAAACACATCTGTGTCTTTGTCTGAATGGTAACCATAAAACCGCCAAAAGCACTCCGTGCCAAATCACGTTTAGAGATGTATTGGGAGCGCTTTGTTTATTTTGGCAGTTACTTTTTGTGAAGAGCAGTGGAAGTAAAACGGCAATGTCTCACAGTGAACACACAGCCGGGAAAACATTAGAATAAGCTTAAAAGACACTTGTGATTCTATCGTTTTTGTTTCTACATTAATGGAGCTCCGTAGGTAATTGCCTCCTCACGGCTCTCTATCATTGATGGTGGTGCCAATATCCCATTTATTTGGCCGTTCCGCGGCATTCACAGTATGAGATTAAGTCAACTGAAGGTTTCACGCATGTTTTTGTAAATCAGTTCGAAGCTGAAACCAAAAACACCTTTTCAACCAGACGTCTGGGGCTGTCACAATATCACATTTTTGTTGTGCGATTATTGCAGCAACATTTATTGCGATATTATTCAAATTTTCAGACCATTTTATGCCACTGATAACATAATGAAAATATAATAGCGTAGTAATAAAAGTATGCCATTTCAAAGAACAAATAACGTTTTATTTGTCAGAATAGTTAGACATTAGAATCTGAAAAAATATATCCTATATAAATAATACAAAAATAATAAGTGCAAGGGGCACGGAGCGGGCGAAGCATCGGGCTGGGGGCGACGCGGTTGGGCTCGAGAAAATGTGTCCAGTGGAAAGGCGCCCCGCTGCAACCGGGGAAGTTTAACGCGGATCTTCGACCGCCGGCAGAGCGACGCTCTCGGCGGCTGCAGGGAGAGACAGAGCGGCCCGGTGCCGCTAACAATCGGCCGGCCCGGAAGGAACGCAGGACGGGGGTCCGGGGGACGGCGTTCCTCCCACCCAAAGAGGCGAACGAGCAGTCCGGAGGAACCGACAGTAGGTCAGGTTGAAAGACCGGGCGGATGGTTGTTGTTTTAGGTAAGATTTTAGCTTAGTTATCTTAGTTGGCTTCACTGCTTCTCTTCACCCGTCTGTGTCCGCTCTGTGTCTGTCTGCACGCTTAAATGTGGGTGACGTTTCTTTATATGTAAAATGAATATCGCACCACCAAAAATTATTGCACGCGATTTCAGAGAATGTGCAATATATCATTTTATCGCATATTGCGACAGGCCTACCGACTTCACACACAGGCACTTGTTCTTTCACAGCGATTGCTTCACCAGCAAACATCGACTTACCCGTCATCTTTCTTGGTCTTCCTCTTCACTTTGGGTGAGGCTCGTGGTGATGTCTTCCAGTCCTTAACCGGTAGTCGGTGAGAGGAACGAGAGCCGCAATTTACTGAGGATGATACGAGGCCGGACCCCTCATCGTTCGGGTCACTGGGTCAAACACAGAAACATACAGACACAACTAGTGAGACAGCTGATGTCAATCAATGCAGCAGAGCGTACGCCCGCGCTTTGAGGTCCTCAAATCCATCAAATCATCGATCATTATTGGGGCTGGAATTAAAAGCACTCAATTTGTCAAGTTCCGTTTTGTGATTAATCTCTTCTAGTTCGACACGGTACGCATGCGTCTTTTCTGCACAAACAAAAGGACGGTATGTTTTCGTCGGCGTTACCTCTGCTCCCCGCCGGCGTCCTGACTGTCAATCTGTGTGAGGTGATAGGAGCGCCGATGGTAAGGTGAGCTGAGGCGTCTGTCCTTCGACTCCTCTCTCGAACTACAACACAGCGGACACTTTTGGCTTTAGTTTCTCACACAAACATCACAACAATTCCAACAGACATGAACGAAAATGGTTGTGTCATTTTTTTAACGCCATATCATCCCTTGGCTTATTATCTTTTTGCCCAGGCACTTTATGCACTTTTAAATGATAACTGGTAGCTTCATCATTTTTCAAACCAGTTTTTTTTTTTTGTCCAAGTAACAAATAGGTAGAGCAATACTTTAAAGTGGACCAGTATTGAGATCCTGAATGAGCTGCAATGTTATCCTCCAGGTATCATTGTTTTGCGAAGGACAAGCTGAGATTGTCACTCGATCCGTTTGTTATTGTGTCTTGTTTTGAAAAGGGGTTTAGGCTTCAACTACAAAGTCCAAATAAGTTAAATATTCAGGCGGTGCCATTGAAAATCTCAAAGATACACCATAGGCAACTCTTTCTGTAGTCCATCTCTCCCTTCATCAGACATGATCCCAGGAAAGACTTTCCTTATCCCCCGTGGAAACGTTTTACTTCTAACTCTTACTATTCTCCGAGGCCGTTGTCCCTGAGACTGTTCCTGGTTTCCCTGGTGATGTCGGGTGCAGCCGGCCACGATGTGTGGCCCACATTGCCGTCTGAAGAGCCTCCACCGACCCCGGGGTTTTCCTGCAATAAGGCGTTCTCCAGCAGGGACGGGGTGTGGCTGAGCCTGGGCTCAGAATCTCCTCCGCCCACCGGACCATCTGCACCCCCAAGTTCCGGGGGCAACAGGCTGAGACAGAAAATTAGGCCCACAGTGAAGTTTTTCCAAGGTTTGTCTGTATGCTTTTAATCCCAGATGAACTTGTTTTGAATGCATGCTTGTTAAAATGAAGGAGGGTTAGATATACATACTTAGATATACTACTTTGCCGACAGATCTTATATCAGTAAACATACCCGTTGTTGGCTGAGCGCGGGGAGGTGAGCAGGTGCAGGGCAGATGCAGCGGAAGCCATGCTGTCCGTCTGGAGGGCGGAGAGAGGCACCGGCTCCAAACCGGAAACGTGGCTGCGCTGAAGCTGTAGGGTCTGCGATGCAATCTCCGGCATGTCCTGGGACATGGCGGTGGAGGCCGAGGAGATGACGTCGGGGGAGCGGGCTCTGGTCGGAGAAGCCAGAGGAGGAAGGAGGGGGGAGTCCAGAACCTGAGGGCTGTCCAGTGCGAGAGGACCGCTGGGGGATGCTAATGCCTGAGGATGTAGATGAGGAGTGTGCTGATGAGAGAAAAGGCCTTCCATAGTGAGTGTATCAAGAGGCTGGTAGAAGTTGGAACTGTGTCCCACCTGTAGGTTCTCTAGTCCAGGCAGAAGCACTGCAGAAACAGCTCTTGGGCTGCTGCTGGAAAGTGTCAGGCTGCTGCTGCTGCTGCTGCTGTTGTTCTCTGCTCTGCTTGGACTCTGACTGACTTCATCCATAGCGCTACACAGAGACACAGACGTCAATGTTCAAGAGCAGGAGACTGTGTATGTTATTCAATTGGATATTTACAGTTGTCCGTTTGTGGAAGGAATCGAGCAATGAAGAACATACATAACAGCCCATACAACCCCAGTGAGCTGCTAGGAGGATGTAGATGGAATTGATGTTTCCTTTATTATCATATTCTAAATTCAAAATGGTCAGTATTCATTTTAATGATCTTAGCTCACCTGTTAGTTAAGTCAGAGTTGCTGTTGATCGCTGTCACAACGGTCAGACTGCTGACGCTGCTGCCCGGGGATGCTGGTACCTGGAACGAGACGAATAAAGTCATTAACAAGATGCAATTATGATTAAATGCTTCTGAAAACCACCAATCATTGGTAAAACAAAAACAAGAACAATGTACACAACGACAGCTGATATGAATATATTATTATATAATATTATTATAAATCTTCTACTTCGTGCCTTCCCAGCCTTTCGCTTTATCTTTGGATCAGCATGAGATGAGTTCAGTTTGAGAAGACTGATGATAAACAGGGTTACGGCCTTGTGTCTGTCAGTAGCGGCACAATATGCAGGAGGGCAGTGCTGTTCATGGGGAAAGCTGTTGCTAGGCAACATACAGGAATAGTTTCAAGCATGTCCTTTGGTTGAAGTGTTTTTTGACCATTTTGTAAACTGGTTGATGCTGGAGTTTCACTACAGCAACCAAAACTGCTCTAATGAATCCTGGAGGGGAGCAGTGGACGAGGATGGAGGACAAGAGATGTACCGAAGTGCTTGGTGTCATGAAGGCATCCGGAGTCATTAGCTTGGTCCCACTGCTGGCCCCCGAGGTTGACAGGAAGTCAGTGGTAGCAGGAAGAGAGGGGATCTTCCTTAGGTCAGTTTGGGAGCCGCTCCCGGATTCCTTGTCCGAGCTGTGGTCAGTGAGATTGTCTGAAAAGCCTGCTGGACACAAAAAGTAACGAGTGTATTTGACGTACAAAAGCAGCAAAAGGCGTAGTAGGGCGATTTGGGGAGAACTGCTTTACTGCCTATTGCTAATTTAATGGTCAGCTTCCGAAGAAACACCAACGTTGAGTTGATACATCATTTCTGCAGTAAGAAACATCGGTGAACACATTTCCTTCATTCCCCGAGATTTGTCCTTGTCCGTTGTGTTTTGCAATCTTTGGACTGTGACTTACCAAAACCATCCTGAGTATCAGAATTGGGAAGGAAAACTGGAGAGCTGGGCTGAAACCAGATCTGGACATCCTGTAGACTCCTAAAGAAAGCACAAAGAAGTGTTTCTCAATTAGGACTTACTATCAAGCCTTGGCCCATTGCATATCTCCTGTCCCAGACCACAAAGCATTTAAAACACTGAGGTTCCCTTACCCAGACTGTTATAATAAAAAGATGGTCTTGGGTTTTGACTAATTTTGACTTAATTTTTTTTTTTTTAACTCAAGCCAAAAAGCCAAAACCCTGACATCGAACTGCAGGAAGAAACTTACTTGGTGTGGACACAGTAGAGTTTAATCTGGATCCCAGACTTCGACTCGGTTAGTCCTTGCGTGCCCTCTGGAGGAGGAAAAAAACCCACAAACACCTAATTAGGATCAATACTGCAACACATTTCACGGTGCTATTGATGACATACGGACACTAGATGTCTCACTGTTTCCCCGCTTCATTGCATCCACTTCACATCTAGTGGTGTACAGTTGTTAGCCACGTGTGTCTTTGCTCAAAGTACAGCTGTGTTGTTTAAGCATTTGTTTGGAAGAGATCCAGGAAATAAACAGCGAGTTCAATTTGGTTAATGTCATAGTACAAATGTGTTGGCCAGCTCTGTGTTCTGCAGTTACTTCACTCAGTGAATGACAGGATTTCAAAAGTAAAATGTAATGCTTTTTAAGACCTCAACAGATATAATTTAAGACCCAAAAATCTCACAATTTCTTTGGAATACGCAATTTATTGCCTCCTACAATGGAAATCAAAACTTTTTTTCAAATTAGGAGACAGTATAATGGCTGACAATAACCCTTCCAACACCGTTTGGCCAATATAGATGTAAACAATCAAAGTGATTCCTTTGTGATGCAGAACAGAGCCAACATAACATACATACGTTTAGATTACACTAAACACAATGCATTGCGAATCGGGGAACATGGCAGCAAAGACGCCACGTATGTCATCATTAGATTTAAATGAATCGTGCCTCGTCACAGTATAGAGAACCCACAGTACCTCTGCCTTTTGGGTGTCTGGTGTTGAAATGAAACTTGTTACAGCCGACTGAGAGGTGGCGTGTGAACTTGTAACGTCGTTAGGTCGTGCTGCAAACAATGCAGGGATTAACCTGGCCCCGCTATGGCTAGCTGCTGCAACGTATCGCTGGTGCTTTCCTCCTTTCATGTGCTACTCGACGACTTTGAGCCCCACGGTCACTAATGAAAAGGTCTTTTTGCAGAGTTTACACATTGCCTCGTTGTTGTTTTCAACCGGCGCCAACCACCTCCTAAATGCATCCTCTTCCATCCACTTGTCATTAAATTTGCCCCATCCTCTTTGCATTTTCAACCTCACATCGACAACCGCGTAATGGCGACACGCAGCCTGACGTCAGCGTCTGTAGCCGACGTACCGTAAACAGCTATGAAATTGCGAAGACTCATTTCGTCCAATTTTTAAGGACCCGCGGGAACCCTGAATGAGGTAAGTCGACGGGTTTGTTGCACCAGTCGTCTACGTCATGTTCGGCAGGAGTGAGAACGAGAGCAGTCTGTCAAGTGATCTCTTTGTTGACTTTGGGAAATTTCTTTTGCAACACGCAGTCATGCATAAGCTACGATATTAGCTTGAAGTTACTTCGTGCAATGGAATATTCCGATTCATGAAACGTGCTCTATGGTGGTATTCCAACATGGCTAGTTGTGGCTAACATTTAGCCTCGTCATCTGAGCGGGGTTTAGTGCAAGTATCTGGCATCGTCCAACTAAAACCCCTCAGACGGGCATCTTTGTCATCAAGTTAACATTGTTTGCGGGAACTAAACGTAATCATGTTGCATCCACAGTCACTTATAGCTCCTAGATTAAATACGTCAAATTATAATTTCAAGGGTTATTGTCGAACAAATAAGCTAAAATAGCTTGTGCGTTCGTCCGTTGTCGTGGTAAACATTGAGAGCAGTCAGCGAGGCGCGGCATGGCATGGCGGAGGCAGCCTCCTGCGGTCACTGAACACGCCTAACGTTGCGTCACCAAATTCACTTATTTGTCAGGTCACTGGCAACATGGTCACTGACGACACACAGACACCATGACGCACTAAACGGACATCATTGGCTCAGCGGCCAATGTGAATGTAACAGGAACAATCTGTCGCGTCACCTGTGGTCATACTCTCAGTCTCCTCTTCAGCGGGGAGAACCTCGGTGTGTCGCAGTCGGCAGTGGGAGACGTCCTGGACCCCAAAGCTGAGCACGGGGTGAGTCAGCAGGAACTCTGACACTGCTGTAAAACTGGCCTTTCCTTTCTCTAGGTCCTGCCGGAGCTCCATCACATACAGAACCTGGTGAGAAGGGCGTCAGCAGAGTATGAAGCTGGCTTCCACAGCCCGCAGCCATTTTTAGGCCCCTGCTCGAAAATTGCATACCCGCAACAAAAAAACAAGTCTAATAAATGAAACACTGGTGAGAAATGATATGTAAATGTCAGTATGTGTGTTTCAGGTTCAGAGTAAATGAAGATGGCATGCTGTGCAAATGAAAACGTTTGAGGTTCGCCTCAAATAAAAAGCTCTTTGAGGACGGTTATCCTCATTATAACTCTAACCCCTTACCAGATCATAACATGTTATGCAGCTCCTGTGGATGCTGACAAAGTGAAGGGCACATTTTTAGGGATGGTGTTAGTAGAGAAAGTTCAGGCAAGTTCTCTAGAATTTGGGTTTTTGGATCGTTATATACCGCAGGGCTACTTCTGCATGTTTGACAGCTCACTCGAATCTTTACAGCCTTTACAATTGAACTGGTCTCATCAGAATGAGATCAACAGCACTGTCAGCCAACCAGAACAAGTCCAAGACACCAAAAAAAGGCCCAAGAAGCTCCTGAAGTGATTTGACTGTAACAGGAGGTGGTGAGGTCACATATCCCAACGATAAGAGAAAACTCTTATCATGGCTAACCGCTATGGTACGTGAATTTCAACAAACATTTTTTGTCTTTTCGGATTCCTGTTGTGGACGTTCTTTGGCTGATGTGCTGCTGAGGGGTTTGCAGAAATCTCAGAAACCGGCTGACTGCTTTCTTGAATAATGTCATTGGTATGTTTAGCTCAAGGTCGTGGCACGTGTTTGAATGGGTTTTCTAAATCCTGTCCTATTGTATTTGGTCATTGCGGTAGGCGTTGTTTGTGTTGTGTTTGGAAAGTGTAAATATGGCTTATGTATTCTTGTAGCCCCTGTTCGCCTGTGTAATGTGATGTGCAACATTGCTATATTCTTTTTGTGATTAGTTTATTGTTCGACACTGGGATCTTTAAATACACGTCCCGAACCACCCCAGACCCAAATCTGTGTTTTCAGGGCCCAGGAGGCTGGGGGCCAGGATAAAGTGGTATAGTGGGTACACTTGAAAAATAATGCACCGTTGTAGCGGACATACTAACCACAGTTTTGAATACGAGTGGCTCTTTAAACAATATTAAATCTACATGACCCGCTCACACAGGTTTTATTTAAATCAGGGTTTAACCATCTGAGACGAGAAGGATCACCGGACGTTCTGGGCCTCTGCGATCTACTAAGAAGTTGCAGCGACCTTAGTTTTAATATGAAACAAGAACACCTAATTAATCCACAGGTACAGACATGCTTGTCTGGCATTGGATGGAATAACAAAAGTTACATTACGTTTCGTGGAAGGGATACTTGCAAAGCAATTTTCTAGTGGGTCTTTTGACAGCTCCCTGAAAAATAGGTAAAGCCACACAATTTTCCCTTATGCAGAAGTACCCACTTTATACTAATCCCACGTATAACCCTAAGCAGTCTTTTATGCTATTGCATAAAGTAGGTGTGTTTGGAAAGATGAGAGCCCCAATGTATGAATGAATTCATTTTATAGTGAAAACAATTCATCGCCGTATAAAGTTACCTGTTGTGACAAAATAATCACAACCGTATGAAACTTTAATAGCTTAACTAACGGCTGAGGGACGTACGGCTTTGACACTACTTCTTTTTGCAGTTTCCACAACAGAAGTTCAATCTTCAAAAAATTGAATTCTCATGGTAAATCCAAATGTCCAAAGTTTTACATACTATTATTTATCTACATTAGTCTTTAATGTCTTGATGTTTTATATTTATTTTCAGGTTCCCGTCTTTCAGATGGTGAGGATGAGGCTTTATACCAAATGTATTCTGCGTCTCCCCCGAAACCAATTAAAAAAAATAAAAAAATAAAATAGGTATTTCTGGGTCTCTGAGGGTTGAGTGCTTTTGTGTTCATAAAGTGGAAGGAAAAGGCTTGAAATGTGCCCATTAAGGAGGAACATCAGCAGTTCATTGTGATTATTCATGAACATCAGCCAAAGCACAGAGCTGAAAACATTGTGCTGACCTTCCTCTGGACGTCAGTGAGGATGAGGTACTCTGAAGCGAGGTCCAGACTGGCCTTCAGACTCGGTAGAACTGAGGAGTTGAACAAATCTGGTGAAAACCTACAAGATGAAATAAAAACAGCACCATTAGTAACTTGAAGCGGCAATGTTAATACATTGGATGAGCTGCAGATAGCAAGAATTATTTAAGCAATAACCTGATGGTCTGTAAGCAGGTCCAGGAAACAGTGCACCACATTTTCAACTCCTGGTTCTGATCCGCTCCAGTTATAAGGAACCGCCAGAAAGGTACGCTACAAAGGAGCACAGGAGAAAAGAGAAGGTAAACAAAAAGCAACAGCCTCAAATTATTAGATGTCCGTCACAATTTTCACATGAAGCTGAGTGTGGGCGCCGGTGGGAACTGACTCGGGGTCCTGTCTTTTGTGGTTGTCGCAGAACAGAAGGCAGGAGAGGGGACGTCCTCCGTGGGGCCGCAATTCATGAAGACACCTGGACAACGGGGATGAAAGAAAGACGCAAAGATGGTGTGAGAAACCACAAGCACAGTTGCGTGCAGAGTAGGTGAGGCAGAAAAAAAGACCACATTCATATTTCAGGGTGACGTGTGAAAGTAAATGCCTACCGTGGCTTGTCCTGTACCCCTTCAATGTATATCTGCCAGAACCTGATGTACCCATCGTGGCTGGCTGTGGCCAACACTGTTCCATCCGGAGACAGAGCCCCCTCACTGACCCTCTGGAGGGGCAGACACCAAACAACACTCAGTCAGTGCTGCAAGGAACGGATGGAAAACTCTGCACTTTCTACCTCTAGTTTACTACAATGTCATTTCTTTTCTAATGAAAATAGCATACTTACAGACAATCATTTCTATCTACTGCATTGAATAGACACTTAGGAATGGTTCCATTGGTTCTACCGTCTCCTACCTGGGTATGTCCCTTGACTATGATGAGACCTTCTTTCACGTCCGTGTCATCCACGGGCCAACTGCTGTGGTTGGCTCTCAACGCCTCCAGGTCCCACACCTCCGCCTACGGAAGGAGAGTGGGGGTGAATTAGGGGGGCAATGGTTTTGGTTTAATCTACGCCTGATGCATTTTGGAAGCAAAAACATTCATACCAAGTCCTCGTGGAGAAGGGCTAACGTCTGGTTGATGTCGTCCTGGTTATCATCGTTGTCATCCTGGATGAACGGGCACCAGATGAGGCGGCGGTGGGAGTTCAGCGGAGAGTCCTCCGGCCGTCGGATATGAACTACCACCTGATCACTGGAGGGCCGTTGGGTTAAGGAAGATGAGGCAAAAGACCATTTATATCTTCAGCAATCACTGCCAAAGCAGGTCGCCATGAGGTTTGGGCTGCTGACAGTGACTATTTGCACTTAAAAAGTACACACAAACAAGATGAAATAAACAAGCCAACCATTAACTGCAGGTACCACCACCCTGAGAAATACACAGACCGTCACACCCTCCTACACACTCCCTTTGAATCTCTCCCACATGTAATGATACAATATCTTGCTTCCAGTGCAGGTGAGCTGCCAGACCATGAGGTTGCCCGCCTCATCTACGCAGCCCAACAGCGAGGAGTCGAGGTGGGCAAAGGCCAGATCTGTAACAGCTCCGGTGAAGCCCTTCAGCAGAGAGCGCTCGGCAAAAGTCACACTCAGGACGCGAATCATCGCATGGTTGTTGGCTCCTGGGGGGGGACAGATGTGGCTTTCAATGAAGATTAAACATGGAACCTGGGGTATCACAGGTGGTCATGCATCAACATTCTGTCAAAGCAGGAGGACGGGAGAAAATCCCAAACTAGAATGCTAGCCCCCGATAGTGCTCAGCACACATGGAGCTGGTTTGACAGTGAGGTGGGTGTTATCAAGAGCAACAAGGTCACGGTTTGCTGTGAGCATTCAGCTACGCTCTATTCTTGTGGTTAGATCCCTCCACAAGTGGGAAAGAAAATGTAATCCTTATTAGTGGTCACAATATCAAACCGTGGTACTTAAATACCACACATGGCTTAATATCTCCATACCAATATTAGACCACTGCCATAATAAACTTTGGGAAAACTAATTCAAAAAGAAAAATGTATCAAACCAAAACATCTGCATTATATGCAGTAATCTGATGTCCCATTTAACAGCTTTATAAAATACTTTGTTTATAGTTTTGTAAAAGGGAGCTCCAGCCTACGCATAAGTAAGAGTTCAGGTGGTGCTTCTACAGTAAGTAAGAAGGTGAAAGGTTTTTAAAACAAAAACCCACATATGGTGATGAATTCTAATTAAATCGTGAGGGGAACAGCTGCTCATACACCAACGTAACAGTAGAAATGCTGAATTGGGTCAACATGCTGTTTATGAACGTAATGGTTTTACTTTTCTGTCCATTTCAAGTTGATGAGACAGACCATAGTGTCTGAAGAATACTTCAACACAAGCGCTTATCTGATTATGTAAAAACCAAATCCACAGATTCAGAAGTTGTATTGGTACATTTCTGCTGATGAAGAAGCCAGCTTAGAGCAGCAGAGCACAGCTAGTGAGGTTCATGACCTGCTTTAATCTCCTCTAAAAATCATTTGTTGACTGCATCCTTCTGGCTGACTCCAGCTAAACCCAGCAACCGGCAGTTATAGCTTCTGGCTGCTGCAAGCCTCTGGTTCCTGATCCAGCTGCACACGCCCACATAAACACATGCACTCCTCTGACAACACAGTCATACTTAAAAGTATGGTTTATCATACCCCTTTTTACTTCTTGTCATACCTTTCTACTATCAGTATACCAAGCAGCATTAGTGTTTAGACACCGATTTTTCTTTGTTTGTGATTTAATAAAAATATTGTTTTAGGATTCGAGAAAATGTGGCAGCATTTCTCGTTTTAAAAATCTCATGTACTTTTTAGACGTTTGAGTCATTTGAAGATATAAATAGATAGAAACAGGAACTCATGACTCACCTCTGATGGCATAGGCCAGGAAGGAGTTGGAGACCGCAATCAGTCTGCCATAATAATACTTGTGTTCCCAGTCGTACTTCGCAACAGGTTGAATCTTTACCTGCATGAGAAAAATTAAAACTCTTAAAAAAGATAATTGTTACTTGCTTTAACCACAGGGTTCTGGTTTTCCGTAACCGAGGCCAAAATGAAGCATAGACTAAGGTGGTTTACTCTTCATCATTTACGCCTTTAAAAATGAATAATTTCCCATTTCATTCAGGAATCTGACATTTGTTATAACACTCCATCGCTCTTCTCGTGTGCATAAGCAAGCTCGTCACTCTGGTAAGTCGTCCCGACCAGCTTCACTGTCGAACATGGTTGTGATTTGTGTCTTTCTGCCTTTGACGTTCAATAGTTTGATGCTGATGATTCGGCTTCTTACCTTGTTGCTGCCACGAGCCTTGCTATTGATGCTGGTATCCTGACTTGCCACTATCTCCACGTTGTTGGAGGTGATGGGGGTACAGGTGGAACCATCATCACCAGAAAGGCAGCTGAAATTGCAGGATGCCCACTCAAGTTTAATATTGACTTAGTTTGCTAACAAACATCCGGTGCTTAATAAAACGTTTTTCATTTTAAATCATAAATTTCAAATAGAGGATAGACTGCACTCTGTTGACGTTTAATGAGTAACGGACATACATTATCTGACACTCCTGAGTGCTGCACAGGTCTGTGGAGATGGGTCTGGTAGAGTCCGACATGGATGACCGATCCGTACCTCCCAGAAGGCCTGCTGCTCCCAATAACCCATTCAGCTCTCTATTTAAAGTTGCCATTCTTAGATTATCACTGGATGCATCTGAGGAGAGACGTTAGATGCAGGTTTAGGGAGGAGGGGGAGAAACTACACAAAGCATAGTCAAGAGATGCTGATTATTAGTTTATTACTGCATTATTTGACAGCGTTCCAGCACCAAACGGAATCATACTGCTTTTGCAAGGAGGTGTAACAGAAATCAACTTCAACCATTACAATTCACATTTAGATATATAGACATCATATAGACTATAGATTTAATTATTGGTCAATAAATACGAAAGCTAAATTGTTCAGCTATAGTAATTGTTTTAATAATTCAAATAATTCAGCCGCGAAGGTACTGCAGGTGGGCCGCGAGAGGTCATTTACAATAAATAGTTTTTTAATTTTCAATTTTTAAAAGCTTGAAATTAATATAAAATTATTTATGATGCGCACCCTCGCAGCATCGATCGGACCCTGAAAGCACTGTCTCCACCTTACTGTCAAAAAGAACAACAGCGAGCGCGTAGAAAACTCCTTCGAGCGCGAGCAGAGATTCTCCTCGCGAGCAACGAGTGCTAATCACACCGACAGACAGCAGCAGTGTTTCTCCCCATATTTTGATATGTCAAAAGGAAAACTTGAACTGTAAACCTTACATTAGTTGACAATTACCAGTTCCAACGCACTGTTAAAAAGCTTGCTGGCGCCCAGCCATCACTTACTGGGACCCCTCAATCACACAGATTAACGAGATTAATTGATAACGTTAATGATTAACGTTATCAATTACACCTGTGCTGTGTGCCTGCAACGACTAATCAGAATGACAGGTGTGCAAACCCTCTATTGGCATCAAGTAAGCCATTTGAATGGCTCATATACATAACACACACACATATACGTGTGTAGATAAACACAAAATGTATTTTCTAAAACGTTTAGACACATTTTCTCATTATGTTTAATGAGAACGTGTTTCCAAACGCTTGGCTGGTACTGTAGTCATTATTAGATAGCTGGGGGAATATTTTATTTATCCAAAAAACATCACTATGAATTCAATAGCGAATGCAAACACTTTTAGCCTTTGGAGGACCTATGGAGTTTTTTTCTCCGTCCTCCCTGGAACCAGTAACGTGAGTGGTTTCCCCAACAAGGCTCGACCATTATTGACAGGTGCAAGTTTCAAAACGACTTTGACTTTCCTCGGTTGCGGAAACATTAAACAAAGCCGAAAAGGAGCATGTTTAAAGTAGCCAAGAACACCGACCTTCTACGCAGTTGAGGAGGCTCGAGCGAACTCCTGATAGCACTCAAATACTTCTTGCTAGACGATTCGGTCTAAAGATCTGCTTCACTTTACTGTTATGAAGTATTTAACGAATATCTGCAGCTTTTGACGAGATCATTTTGATTACACAAGCATTCGTTCCAACTACTTATTTATTGCCAGGCAGCAACATACCCAGCTTTCCTAGCCGACAAAAATAGACCGAGGCGTAAGCTAGCCAAAGCTCGTAACATTAGCTCAGTTCCCACTAACGTTAGCTATAGAACATACCTGACACCATCCCAATGTAGTTAGCGCTCCGTCATTACGACAAATATGAACACACGCGTCGCTCCGGGAAAGTTAGTCAGAAAATACAGCTGAACCCACTGACATACAAATTGTGTTTTTCCTTAGTAGGCAGTGCAACTGCTATTGAGCTAACTTTACTCCAGAGCTGCAGCGCGCTAAACCAACTCCCGTTAGCTTGGTACCTATTTAGCTAACGTTAGCTAGTTAGGCTAGCGCTTGTTTAGCATCTGCGGCCTAGACTAGCGCAGGCGCTTTTCATTCCCGGTCCAACTTACCGGTGGTGTTCCCGGGACGGTCGAGCTTTAAGATGTCCCGAAGATGCTGGGTCGCATCCTCAATATCTATGTTAGAATTGGACGCCATGTGTTGGGGGACAAGGGAAACTGGGTTCATGCGCGGGAAGAGAATAGTGTCTTTTTCGATTCTGTCAACGTTCCTTTCGTTCACCCAGAGCAACCGTCTAAACTTCCGTCATGTCCGCGCAAAGGTTCCGGCTAGTCTTAGCGTCAGGACATTCGTTCCTACCTCCACGAGTTCTAGAGATGAGGTGAAAGAGGTTCACACTTTATGATAACGTCACCCCTTAACCTCTAAAAGTGTTTTAATTATAACAACTTAAAATTCATAAGGGCTTCCTTATGACTTCATTTCCATTTTCAGGGTTTTTGGTCATGTGCAGATCGAACTACAGCAACATTTGAAGTGGAACAGCAAATTGTAGGCCAACACCAAGACTTTGATTGAACTTATGATTCAGACCAACCCCGTACACAGAGGTCTACAGTTCCATCCATCCATCCATCGTCAAACAGCTTATCCTGCACACAGGGTCGCGGGGTGGCTGGAGTCCATCCCAGCCAACTTCGGGCGAGAGACAGGGTACACCCTGGATTGGTCGCCAGCCAATCGCAGGGCCAACACAGAGACATACAACCATTCACACTCACATTCAAACACCTACGGGCAATTTAAAGTCCCCAATTAACCTGATCCCCAGAGCATGTCTTTTGACTGAGGGAGGAAGCCGGAGAACCCGGAGAGAACGCACGCAGACACGGGGAGAACATGCAGACTCCACACAGAAAGGCCACTGGGCGGAGTCGAACCCAGAACCTTCTTGCTGTGAGGCGACAGTGCTAACCACCAGGCCACCGTGACGCCCTAGAGGTCTACAGTTGATTTTATTAAATAATAAATAGCAATTCCTCTGATGTAAATAATATTTAAATGGCTCTTGAGTATGCAGTGTTTTAGCGACCAGTGAAAACACACTGAACAGTGAACAGTTTTGATCATGTTTTGTTGTAAATAAATGTGACTGATTCTTGTAAGTTTTCTCGTCACTGAGTTAATAACATTGATTTGACTATATGCATTGTCCGTTGAGTAGCAGCAGCATCTGGTCATGGTTGTATTCATGTATCTGCAGTTAGTGTATTTGTAGCTGTTGAGCTTCATGTAAAATTTTATTCCATGTTAAATGTTACAGTGTAATGTGAATATGTTGTGTTTACGCAAAAAAAAATCAGCCTCTAAATGTGGCTTCACAATGCTCCAAACACAACTAAACCCCAAAAATGAATTATTACCAGATGTCAACATTCCTATAGCGCCACCAAGTCATCCTACTCGCCACCTCTCTGGCTGTGACTCTACAACACGTCATGCTGTAAAGACTGACAACCCACAGATTACGGACATATAAGCCAAGTCCTGCTAACGTCAAGCATCTGTGAGGTAACAGCCAAAGAATGCCAACAACAGAAATATCTTTATTAAACAATAATATTTGCTTACCTTAAAAATACCCTCTTACCGTAGCTGTTTAGTTAAGATGAAAAGGTGTTTTTCCCGGTAATTCCACATAAAAATACGGGCATCTATATACTACTAAAGCTCCAAACTACTGTATTTGGATATATTTGACACCATAAGTGATATACAAGTGGAATAAATAATTTGGAAGATATTGTTACAAACGACACAGATGTGCCAGAACGGCCATTTTGGAGCTGTTGCCTGAACTGTCTGCACTAAAAACGCCCTAACTTTCTTCTGCTTCACTTAATCAAAGTCAAACTTTGCAGAGAGAATGCCCATGTAGTTGAGGTTTAAAGCTTCAAATACATTGTGGTAAAAATCTTGAAAATTAGTTTTGGCAACCTGAAACTTTTTTAAATTCTGCTGTCTTCCATTTTCATTTAACACATACACTGATATTTGTTGTATTCAAATAGACCGTGCAGTTGCAGAGATATACTCTTTAAAAAAATGGGTATGCAAATTTTGAGCAGGTCTAAAAATTGGGCAGCTTTTAACAGGTTATGCTACGGTATTGGAAGTAGTTTTCTCTCTGCCAACACACTAGTTTTATTTTGTGCAGCAGAGTAAAGTAATAACATCGGGGGACAAGATATGCTTTTAAAAAAATCTAACTTGTTTGTTACAATGTAATTTCGACTCAACCCTTAGATTATTTAGAAAAATACCAAAAAGTTTACCGTTGACTATCCAGCAGCAAAAGTGAACTGCGGTCAACAGGCAGCGAGGCCCGATGTGGACGACATGCTAGACTCGTTACGCAGCGGCCCGATGCAGCAAAGACGGTTTTTCACTGGTTTATTGACACTGAACGTGTGGCGTACACAGAGTTCAACACATCCATGGGTCCCCCGAAAATACACCCACCAAGTGGAAAGTGGACCCGATAAACAGTTTAATGTCTTTATTTCATTTCAAGTTGATTCATTCATACATATTATACTGTACCATTCAAAGGTTTGGACACTTTCTCGTTGAAGTAAATAAGTTAATGTGTCCAAACCTTGACTAGTACTGAACATGTTGACGTGTTGATGGGTTTTGTCTCTTTAAATCTGAATTTGTTCTTTAAATCTAAAAGTACCCTCTCATGTAATATTTTCATTGACACCTGGCAGTGCCTTTTTTGGATGTAACACAGTAGTTTACTCAGAAAGTACACTTTAATTGACCTTTTTCATGCCTTTTTTAAAACTTCATTCCAGTCAAATATTGTGGTATTTTTTTTTGCATCTTAAGACAGAGTGAATTTAACCGTCTGTGTTAACGTGGAGCGGACAGCTGTGACCGATCTACGTTAAAGCACAGGCAGAGGAACTTGGAAGAGGGTGGTTTGAAGACGTGCCGTCCCGCACTAACTGGGCTGACCACGACTTCGATGTAGCGGCTTCGCTGTCGGCCTGTTAACTAGTTTCTCCCAGGTAGCGTAACTATTTAGATGTTGAGTAGTAGGGTTGATAGTAACATTGTGGGGCCCTTAATCATCAAGCTGGGACTCTCTCCATGTTTGTTGGTGCTTAAAGGTAATAAGACACTAAGGTTCTGCTCAGGGGCGGCAATTTTGTCACCAACCCACACACAGGCGAACAGACACCCCGGTTAAACAATGTAAGATGAGACTAACAAATACAATTGCAAACAACTAAATAGACAAGACACTTGGAAAACAAATAATATGGTTCTGTTAAGTGCGAGGAAATATGTTAAGTCAGTTAAAATGTACTCATCTTCAAAAAGAAAACTAATGTTATAGAGTTTATATACACATACAATAGTTTATATATTAATTCAAAACAAAGAAGGTAAAACCCATTTGGGGACAAGGGGCCTTCAATGTTCCTCCACCATCAAAGGGGGGCTTGACAGAATAAGTTTGGGAACCAGAGCTATAAAGCGACGCCATGAAGCGGCTCATTTTATTGTTGTGGTGCCGCCTACAGACGGGCCGGTGTGGGGTCAACAGAGGACCAGGAAGCTTTTGGTAATGTTAAGTCTCTTTTGTGTTCTCCATTTCGACCATCCATGTCCATGTGGGGTCCGGACTGAGCCAGTCTGACTCCTACATAGACCTTTATTGGATTAACCGAAGGCTGGTTAGGTAGTCAATAATGTTTCCATAATCGCAACATCTGGACATCACACACACTGAAGGTAATGTAGTTGTGAGTGCACTCTCACAGGCTCCAGTTTGAGTAATTGAAACGTCAGTTTATCCCATGTTATTTCATCTCATGCGCATTACTTTAAAAAATAAAAAAGCCGTCTATTGACTGGGTGCTTGCTGTGTAAAGGATTGTAGATGTGTTGCATGTATTGCTTTTGCAGGTTTGTTTTCATTGAGGTCTTGTGGTTCTGCTAATAGATACTTAGTTAGGTTGTGTCTCCCTCTTTGACAATGGCCAAGTCAGTCCTCTGATCACATTAAACATGATTTTCACATATTTAGGATAAAACCGAAGGCAAATAGAACAACAAACAAGCAGCAAATGAAGGCGGCTGCAGTCAAAGACAAGACAAACAAATTAGTGAGGTCAATGGGTGCAAGACTTCAGGAGGCCATTGCCTTACATTCACAACTGTTTGCCAGATTACTTCCAATAAACTGGGTATATCTAAACTAAAAGTGTTTTTGTCCTAGCCATTGAACCAGTCAAACCAAATATTGACTGATTCAGTTCAAATCATTGAGAGTTGCATAAAACAAATTTAGAAAAATTGTGTCAGAATCCAAATACTAAGGCCTCGACTATTTATTTAACTGCAGATCAACTGATCACATTAAATATGAACGCACTATAATGGATATTATGCCGGCTGATGCTCTGCAGTAATGTCCCCCAAACTGTAATATGAAAGGGAACCATTACAATCAGGCAAAGAGAAGAACACGGATTGAAAAGGCCACACCGTTAAGAAAAAAAGTCCATGTTTTATTGTCTATCATGGCTGCAGTCCATGTTTACTGCCCGACATGTCTGTGTGAGAGAGAAAGACACATTGAGAGAGCGAGCGAGAGAGGGAGAGAGAGAGATAATCTTCAGGAGCGGTCACACTTTGTACTCCATTGGTTTGCGAAAGCAAAGCCAGGCATGAGAGTGAATCACAGCAAAGTGTAAGAATCTTGTAAAAGAAGATGAAACTCAATTGAATACACCAAGGCATCACACGAGTGGAATCTAAAAAACATAACACAAGAAGTCGCACGCGATGGAGCCGTCTCTGAACCTGAATCTACAAACCAATCGGCAAACAGTGCTAACAGAAGGGATTCGATTGCGGTGGCGTTAACGGCAGAGTAGAATGGGGCTGATTTTAGAAGAGGGTGGAGAGAGGAGCGCGGCTTGAGTAAACGGCGTCGGTCGGCTGTTTGTCTCTCTGGTGTCGTGAGTGTAGATATTGGAATGGTGGGGGGGGGCGGGGCCTCCCGGCGTCATGCAGATCAGCGAAGTGGCAGACCGGGGCTTCTGATTGGTTGGTTGGCTGGCTCTCAGCGAGGGAACGAATCGCAGTTCTACTGGCTGGGCGGTCTGTAAACCCACCTGGATGAGGTTCAGTGATTGACAACTAGAATCCGGTGTTTGCGAGAGTCAAGCAGGCGTAAATGAGATGGCAGAAGGGAGAGGCGAGTGTCCCCTCTTCTCTCCATCCCACACTCCTCCTTCCCCCCTCCCTCCATGCTTCACTCACGTGGTGTCCTCCACTACAGGCGCCCCTGCCC